AAGGGGGCGGGGGGGGAGGGGAGCTCACTAGATGTACAGGGAAGTCTGAAAATCAGTCCACTTTGCAGCTACTTCGCTTCCTGTGTCATAGAGGGACAATGAATGCCGAATTTATGGATCTGGAGCTGGACAATGAAGGAGCAGCAATAGACTGATGAGCTCATCTCTTTGCCAACTCCTCCTGTCAGCATGTTCCTTTTGAATGCAGCATACCTGCTTGTCTCAGAGTGCTGCGCCTTCCTCTCCCGGTCTGTGCACTGCTGTGCAGAGGATGCAGAGGATTACAGGAGGCTGAAATTAAATCAAATAAAAGCTATCTATTCCCCACCCCCAAGCCGCAGACACCCACCTTGCCAGCGCTCCCTCGCAGTGCCTTCCTTTCTTGCAGCCAGGAATAGGAAGAACAGAGAAGTCACTTGCGTTTTACCTAGTAGCCAATAACACGCTCTGTCTAATGAGATGGCCATAATGGGACGCTCTTCAATGAGATGGTCACCAATGGGACGCTCTTCAATGAGATGCTCAGCAATGGGACGCTCTTCAATGAGATGCTCAGCAATGGGACACTCTTCAATGAGATGCTCACCAATGGGACACTCTTCAATGAGATGCTCACCAATGGGACACTCTTCAATGAGATGCTCAGCAATGGGACACTTTTCAATGAGATGGTCACCAATGAGATGCTCTTCAGTGAGATGCTCACCAATGGGACACTCTTCAATGAGATGGTCACCAATGAGACGCTCTTTAATGAGATGATCACCAATGAGACGCTCTTTAATGAGATGATCACCAATGAGACGCTCTTTAATGAGATGATCACCAATGAGACGCTCTTTAATGAGATGATCACCAATGAGACGCTCTTTAATGAGATGATCACCAATGAGACGCTCTTTAATGAGATGATCACCAATGAGACGCTCTTTAATGAGATGATCACCAATGAGACGCTCTTTAATGAGATGATCACCAATGAGACGCTCTTTAATGAGATGATCACCAATGAGACGCTCTTTAATGAGATGATCACCAATGAGACGCTCTTTAATGAGATGATCACCAATGAGACGCTCTTTAATGAGATGATCACCAATGAGACGCTCTTTAATGAGATGATCACCAATGAGACGCTCTTTAATGAGATGATCACCAATGAGACGCTCTTTAATGAGATGATCACCAATGAGACGCTCTTTAATGAGATGATCACCAATGAGACGCTCTTTAATGAGATGATCACCAATGAGACGCTCTTTAATGAGATGATCACCAATGAGACGCTCTTTAATGAGATGATCACCAATGAGACGCTCTTTAATGAGATGATCACCAATGAGACGCTCTTTAATGAGATGATCACCAATGAGACGCTCTTTAATGAGATGATCACCAATGAGACGCTCTTTAATGAGATGATCACCAATGAGACGCTCTTTAATGAGATGATCACCAATGAGACGCTCTTTAATGAGATGATCACCAA